CGTTGAATCGGACTCGGATGGGACGGTAGTGTGCAAGCGTTAATACAAATAATAATATAGTTACTTTAGTCCGTGAAAATAATGGTCCGAGTTGAAGGTATTCTCGATTACGGAAGACGGAATTCGGAATTAGTACGCAATCCCCTATATAAACAATACTAAAACTAATTCGGACCGCCATTTCTCGGATTCGGAAGTGATACGGATCGGACGCAATGCGCAACGGCTCTAACCTAACTTTTCAAATTGTTGCAAACTTAAAAGTATTAATACTAGCTGTGCATGGGCGTATATGCCTCAAAAGGCCGTGACTGACTCTTTTATTCTTTAATTTTACTCTCTCCAAAAGATGTACTTAATAGATTTAATTGCGTAAACTTTCGGATTTTATTTTTCTTGTAACTGTGAATAAAAAAAAAACAAAAAACAGGGTTAATTTTTATTTTTATTGACTATTTGATTACTGCTATATAGTGATATAGTTATTCGGACTGCGATCTCCGACGCAGGTCAAGGGACAAAATGTGCGATAAAATGTGAATTGTGTAACAAGAACACTCAATAAATCCACAATATAACAATTTCTCTTCAACAATTATTCGAGACTTACTCGCAGTGAAATCAAAAGTGAGTTAAGATTTTAGAATTTTTTAACTAATAGTTAACCACTCTTTATGTAAGGGTTAAAAAAATTAAATCCGTTTAGTGATCCTTTTTAGATAAGTTAGGAATGATTTTCAAAGAACGAAAATCACTATGAAATGATGCTGTGTGTTGAGCAGCAATGGTAGGTTGCAGTTGTAACTTATTGTTTTGATAGCGTCGAAGAAGACAAACATCGACCTTTTCTTACGCTGGAATGCTTTAGGAGGATAAATTCCGGACATGAAGGCCGTATGAGCCAATGGTTAAAAAAGTCACACCTCTTCACATTGACCTGCACAGGTATGTGCAGGTCTATGTGCAGAGGTGTGACGGCGCAATGAAATAACCTTCAGCTAGGGCTCTGCGCAGATACTTTTGCTTTTTTCAAACAGATGACTTTTACATTCTTTAAGAGATTTATTTTTTTCCATCCCCTAAGTTAAGAGATGACCAGATTGTTCCATAGATAACGCAACTCGAACTAAAATGTTGTAAAAGGCAAAAACGCATACAATCTTAATGATAGGCATAATATAAATAATTTCAAAATTAATTTAGTACTTATAGTTAATTTGCAAATTTTTAGTTTTTTTTTTCTATAGTTCAAGCTTATGCGTACACATCGAGTATATAACCAGAAATAGAGACGAAATAAGGGCCATATATTCCTGGTAACACATTAGCGATACAGCTCTTATAAATATCAACTCCCGTTTGCACTGAAATATAGACAGGCCAACTACTGACCTGTGTGTACGTCTCCGTATATTCCAAAAAATATTCTGTATTTATTGTAATAAAGATAATACAATGCTGTGCTGTTCTATTCGGTGATGTGGGAAAAACAGTAAAACATCTAATTACAAAACAAACGAAATCACATTTCTTCGGTAATTCAATATTAAATACGTAATTTTAATTTTCGTCCATTATAGCAAAGCCCAAGTAAATTGGTTGATTTGAAGTGATACAGTTGACGACACCCATTGACACTCGTCAATTGTTTCGAACTCGGGCTGGCCACTCGGAGCGCAGTTGTCACAGTAATGACATGGCAGAATAGTTTTCAAACAAATTAAATGACATTTCGTCTCTATTTCTGGTTATATACTCGATGTGCGTACATTAAAATTTTTTGAGCATAAAACCTTTTTGCTTCTCCGTGACGTATGAGACAAATAAAAAATCCATGTAATGTAATATAATTATGTATACAATGTACTGACCTTACCTTAGAATAATAACGCATAGAATGATAGTTTCATAAAAAACGAACTGTCACAAGTGAGGCAAAAATCAAATTCATGTAGGCGTAAGCGACTTGTATTTACGCTCGTCGGCACGCACACAAATACATAAATAATGTTGCCATGGAATAACATTTCCCTCAAAAGTGGGGAAATTGTATCTTGCTTAACTCATCGTTAAGTTAGAGGTGCCTACAGATTTGCTCGATTTTGTCGATCGTTACTGTCGATCGTTACTGTCGATCGACAACGTCAAGTGACAGGAATTTTCAAAAATTTATTTTTGGTAATCCTTATGGAAATGGCATTTATATGTATATGAATACACGAAGGCGGACACGACTTTTCGAATAAATGCAATATGGGATGCTCATTGCACTAATTTCTAAATCCAAGATGGCGGGCACGATTTTTCGAATAATGGCAAGTTGGGTGTCGTTTTCAAGGTATTAGGGGCTGCTCATTCCGAATATAGCACATATTTCTAAATCAAAGGTGGCAAAGAATTAGAAGTCTTGTCCCCCATCTTGTATTCAGATATACATGCCATTTCCTTATGGTTTACCAAAAATACATTTTTGAAAATTGTTGTCAACCATCTTGGATTTAGAAATTAATGCTACATTCGTAATATGCACTCTAAAACTCCTCGAAAACGTCTATAATTCTCAATCGTTACTGTCGATCGACAATGTCGAGCAAATCTGTAGGCACCTTATTAAATACTACCCAATTCTTATTTAACTAATATATGAACAAAAACCTACAAACGAGTTTAAGTGCGACTATCGATTTTGAATATATAAATAGCCTGATATTATCTGTGGGTATGTTTATATGAAAAGTACACGATAACAATTAAGAACCTGAACCTGAAAGTTATTAATACACGATTTTGGAGAACTGACGATGACTTTTTAGTCAGTGTTAGTTTCCTGAAATAATTTTAGTTAAGAACTTTTGAGTCTGGGCAAGACAATTTTTTTAAATGAGTGTATGATGAACAAGAATAATGATTTTTCACATGAAACTAATGAAGGCAAATACTAAATATATTTCGTAAAAATAGCTAACCTAAATTCCCTACAATGTTGTTGCGGCGGTGTACATTTGTAGAAATTTTGCAACCGTCGCGATATTGCCTATTCTCAAAAAATTACGTAATATAATTATTTTGAAACAGAATACCAAAATGGGGAGAAAAAACCCGTTACTTTGCAACATTTTCGTATCTTGTTGCAACGAAATTAATTTTTTGTTTTAGTGAATATTTACATAAAATACAAGTTAAAACGCGTTACTTCCTTGTGGAATGTGATGTTAGTGTCTATTTTATATTTGTCTGATCTATTTTTAAACCCAATTACCGCACATTTCGTCATTTTTAGCAAAAATTTTTGAGCTGCTCGCGGTGCAACTTGACCTTGAGCACTGACAGCCCGCTCGCTCGTGTAAGTCCATAGGGCGGCCTACAATTTGCCTCACTTAGCGTGTGCGGGCTAGGTTTCTATGCGTTATTATTCTAAGGTACTGACCTTATTTATCGAAAATAATAATATCAAGCTTTAATATATATGCCGACATATACCATAATAGCTACGAATAGCTACTCACCTACCCAACCTACCATATATTATTATACCATATTATTAATGAGTGTTTACCTAACTAAAGAAACATTAACTTTTTTTTATTTATATCCTTTTTCATTCAAATTCCGTATCTTTTCATTTTCATTCAAAATCCGTAATTCTTCTTACCCAATCCTTTCATTGGCTAAGTGCGAAGGTAAAGCCATTAATAATAAAAAAATAATAAAAGTCTTTGCTTGCTTGACATTGTATATGAACAAGTGTTTTAGAAAGTCCTATAATATAACTATACGTTTCTGTTATACCTCATATATACAAAATGATGAATGATAGTTTGATTTACGAACTTAACATAGATAAAACGGGTAACTACTATTTACGCAATTCTTCTAATTAACTGTTGTGTTATGTGTATAAAGAGATAATTTTTAATTTTTTTTATTATTGATTTAATTTTAATATCGTGATTGCGGCTTCAGTGACTCATCGATGAGCACACTCACTCGACGCAAAGGCAGACGGTAGGCTTGGTGGTGGTTTTCCCGGTAGGGATAATTTAGGAAGAGAAACCGTCTAAATTGAGTACAGTCTAGGTGGCGTAGCATTTTCAAATCCTTTTTTTTTTAACATTGATTTTTACAGCGCAGAGAACTCACTTAAGTTGGCATCAGGTATTAGTCTGATTTTCTGACGTATAAGTACATCTGTGTTTGTAATAAAACGTGCTGAATTATAGGTTTTCGTTGGAGCTGAGAAATAAAGCAACGTTGTAATTTACTCACCCTAAAGACTTTTGAAGTCGTTCCAAAAAGATACAAACAAACCTCACACTCAGACGTGCATCTTATAAACTCAGTTAAATTGTGCCACAAAAATTAACATATGTACCAGGAAGCAAAGAAGAATTATAAAAAACGGAATGTGTGCGCCATTAACCAGAATAATAGTCTGCTTATTTTATTAGAGCACTTTAATTGAGTTTCTAGTGCTCTCTTTCTCTAATGGATGTGGGTCTTTCGCGTGTGTAACTAAAGTTATAGTTGAATTATGTAGCGGAGAGTGCAGGCAGGTTTAATAATTAAATTAGCCAGTAAATATAAGTTTGAAATGTAAGTACGTATGCTGAGTACGTTTGTTCAACTGATGGTTGAATTACGAACTAAATTGATTATTGTTCAGTCAGTATAAAGAATACAGAAGGAAATTCAAACCGATTCATATACATACATGACATATTAAAAAATAAGTATAAAACTTATTTCCCGAACTCTGTAACTTGCAGTGTTTAGGCATTATTTACGTATGCATAGTCTATTATCGACCTCATAGTCACTTTCCATGAGGTAAGATGGAGATCAGATGCGCGATGCGATTATATTTTATAAAAAAGAAATAATTAACTTTCAAGCAGTGACCGATCACTATCTAACGCTAACGGTGTTATATTTACGTATTTTTTAAAAATTGAACTAAGTGGTACGAGAAACTTATAATTTAATATTTACATGTCACTTACCATACATAGTCCCAACGGCAGAAGAGAGATGACGGACAATGGCGCCGTCACACAGAGAGTCGAAGCACGCGCTAAGTGCGCGGGCGCATGCACTCGTACCGATCTGTATACAAATGTCAGTTTCGATAAACATCATAGTGATTTTCCCGTAATTGTGGATACGTACAGGGTATTAATAAGAGGGAGTGGCCATTTGGATGATATTTATGAAAGATAATGAATTACATAATTGAACTTTTCAGGTGTCACTTCGACTAAAACAATTTATAAGCAGATATTGCGGTTGCAAAAAAAAAACACTTTTTTAATCTACCTTTTTCATTTTATAAGTAGTGGACTTACTCACGTTCACTATTTTTGAAACACTAAAATGTATGACTCGATGTATGACTTGCTTTAATTAATAGTATAATTAGATTGCAAACAGTGCCGAGTAGAAACTCCTACGACATTGAATATTCGTGTTGCCCAAAATTGGTTTTGGTCTTGTAGTCGCGAATTCGTTCTTACATTTTTGCAAGACCAAAACCGATAGGGCAAGATATGAGCTAGAGCAAGACTGAGTTTGCGGGACTCTTGAGTCTCGTAGTGTCACGTCAACTTACATGGCAGTTAGGTATTGATGATTTGCTTTCAAATCAATTTCGATGTTGATAGACGTTCCCTAATATCCGTAATAAAACCCTAGTTTCTTCTAACAACAAAGGTTGGATGTGATGACATCAAAAGCTATTTTGAAGTAAGTGGTTTCTTAACATAATGTGTACTTATGACAAAAGAGTAGCAAAAAAAATTGGCTTTAGCGAAGTTAAAGAATTATTAACAACAACATACACCTAATCGAAAAACTAATTAATGAGTCGGCGCGGGTGACGCGGTCTTCTCATTAACAGGTCATCTTGTACCCATAACATTCGCTAACTACTTTTATTTATTAAATTTATGCGTGGGTTTAGCGTATATCCCCAAAATTATATTCAACCAATATGATGGTAAAAATATTGTAAAGTAAATTTTTCGGCTTTTTTTGTTCGCTTCCACTATAACTATGTCAGTATGCACTCAAATTGTACTTACTCTGTGTCGTTGTTCTAAAATCTAAACCAACCCTCATTGCCACTTATTGCATTAATAAAAGAATATGATAGTTTGATATGTAATAATAGGTAATAGTAAAACTTGCGAGACTCCTGCAGCAAGACCAAGGCCAAGACCAAAAACAAGGTTAATATCGTTTTGGTCTTTTATTGGGCAACACTATCGAATGTTAATAAGATGTGTGAACCTGCAGTGACTTATTTCTTGCATAAAGTAGATGTAATTTCGCAAACCAAAATTATAAAACAACCTTGATATACATCCACCGCTCTTCATTGGGGAGTAAAACAGCTAAGTTTATTTTTGTAATTTTCTGCGAACATTATCAAACATTTATATGAATTCTCCACCACTTAAATTAAAATTTATTTAAATATAGTCTGTGTGTAATATCATGACAAGTATAAACAATATTAAAAATAAGAATAGGTCATTAAGTTTTTCTAATTCTGGTTGCCATTTTTGTGTTTTTTCAAATGAATAAATAAACTGGATGAATAAAATGAATAGACTGGAATAAAATGCATTTTAAGAAGAAGCGCTGGATTACCGCTGATCTTAAATATACTCGTATACGATGCCACCTGCAGGAAGTGTTTGCCCTTTCTGTCCTATTGGAAATTTAATCTTCAACTATTTACCCTTGCCAATCGCACAGAAGTACGGTATCTTCTAAGCGAAGCTGCGCTGGAAAGGCGATCTAGTTCTTTTACAAATAAGATGTGGCTAGCGCCTCAATATTTTTATGACAAAATGCGAAAGATTTAGATTTTCCTTTCAACATTTAAATTGTTACAGGCAGTGACACAATAACAAAATTTAGCTGTAAAGAGCTTCATCAAAGGGTTTCATCAAGAGTTTCATCAAAGGGTAAGTAAGCTCAATTCAGAGTTGAGGAATGTCATCTTTATGATAGTATAGTTTATAACAGTTTTCATTAGTTGTACTCACGATAAATTATGCTAATCGTAGCAAATACTTTTTACCTGAATAGGAAAAGAAGTTTACTCAGCGTAAGTTTTCTTAAAAAAATATTTTGAAAACGCGAACTATACTTTAGGGAAACCAAACAAACAATTGAGGCTTGGTCTTTATTTTATTTACTTGCTGTGTTATTGGTTTCCGACTATATAAAAAAAAGAGTCTTACCAAATATTCTAGCACCATGTTCCAGCCGATGACGAAAGCTATAAACTCTCCAACGGTGACGTAGGAGTAAGTGTAAGCCGATCCGGTAGTGTTGGGAACGCGTACACCAAACTCAGCGTAGCATGCACCTACAGAACAAATATTTGTGTTAATATATCATCCACGTTTGTATCGAAATATGCGGCGTAACAATCACAATGATGTAGCTCACTTAATTTTTAAACATATAAGGGCTATTGTCAAAAGCGGACTTAAAATAACAAAATAAAAACAATGTTTTTTGATATGATTCAAAGTAGTCTCAAATTAAAGGTACCGTATCCTACAACATGTTTCATTAAGAACCTAGCTATTATCACTGTAATTGTCATGAAAAAAAGGAAAAAATAAAACACGCCTCCACGGAAGTGACACAAGTCCATGGTAATGACATATTAGATTAATTTTAATGAAGTATGTATGGTTTACTGTAGAGTAAAACATTTGACCTAATAATAATCTCAGTACACAGTACTAAAAAAACCGACCTCAAAAGTACGTGGAATTACATATAATTACCAAGTTTTATTAAAATCGGTTACCAGAAAGTGCGCAAACCCGGATTCAGTTCGCCACTATACGAGACACAGGAGATAATAAAAATTCTCTTAACTTTATCTATAAAGTAAAGGTTCTCCATACTCAAAGTATATTGAGAGAGAAAAACGCCTTGAATTGGAGAATAGCAAAATCAACCACTAAAATAATTGCTCCTTATAATAAAATTTAGGCGCTATTTATATAAATGAATCTTCATGCGTGAACAGCCACCCTTAGAGGTGGATGATTTTCTTCAAAATTAAATGGGATCACTATGGGATCACCTTCTTTCCAACATAAAAGAATCATGAAACTCGGTTCACCAATATCTGTTCAATACCGGATTTATCGCGCAACATATATATAAAAAAAACATACTCCTCCTTTTTTTGAAGTTGGTTAAAAAAGTAAGCCTCTTTCATTTTCAACAACTAAGCAAGATGTTATTACCTTTTCAAAATTAAACCATGTCAATTATAAAAGAAAGTCCTCTACGTAATGAAGTCAGTCCCAGTGCCCACTGACGGGATGGGACGGCAAGAGATTTTTAGGTGGCGAATAGTAATGTACCTTACGATTATGACTTTATAGTTGCAATTTTAGCGATAATGATCGTAGCTGCAAAATGAAGCTGCGATATGCTTAGGCATGCCGAGCCTTCAGCGTCCGGAATGCCTAGGCACCTTCCGAAATGTCTCAGCAGCCTTACGGACGCCTCGGCAACCTCAGGGATGCCTCCCCAGTTTTAGGGATACCTCGGCAGCCTTAAGGATGCATCGATAGGTTTCAGGAAGCACGCTTCGCGTCGCCATTGCTCACCATTAGCTTGACGCCATGCAACTATAGCATTCAATACACGTCACGCAACGATGTAGCGACGGTATGTTTCAGCATACGTAAAGATGCCCCGGCATGCCTGCCGTGGCTTGTCCTCCTCAGACCAAATGTCCCCATATGGGGACATACAACGTCATTTGGTAAATGCGCGGCAATAAGCTGCACTAACTCGTTAATGTTGATATGTTAGTGATTTATTCGTTCTACGATAGATTGCGCTACCGCTCATTTCGATTTTTATTCATTCGGTGCCGCCATATTTTTTTGTAGGTGTTTGAAAAATGAGCACGCGAAATAAATTCAATTTTGGCGTACCTGCTGACGGTGAGTACTACATTTGTATGTTATTTCAATTTTTTCATAAAAACTAATATATGTGTCATGTTTTTGAACAGTTTTACTATGTTTTTGAATCAAAAAAGTTTTCGCTCGAGTTGTATCTTGCCCAACACACACATTTGAACGTGTTTGTCTCCTTTTGGGGACTATGGGTTTCTGTCTTACAAAAATATAGAATTATTCCATATATTTTCGTATTATATTTTTTGACTACTATTCTGTATTTCAACCTTACTTTCATGTATTTATTAGTACATTTCGCGTGTTTAATAAATATAAACGTAATATTTTTCAGAATCAGCCTTAGCAGATGCCTTACATGAAATCATCAACGGCGATGACTCTGATTTGGAAATAGACATTGGAGATGAAGATGTTGCAGAAGATCCACCGTACGTTCCTACAGGTGATGGCGACGAGGATGAGAGTTCAGAAAATGGTTCAGAAGAGGAAGACGTGCAAGGAAATGATGTGGTTCTAGGATCAAACAGCTGCCAGTCTTCGCAGGTTCAGCCTCCATTGGTTGGTAACATTTCCCAACGACGTGTATATTGGAAAAGTACAAATGTCTTTGAACCATTGCCACCAGCCCCAAACTTCAAAGAGCCAGAGAGAGTGGTAATAAATTTGCCACCGCATGATTATTTTACAAAGTACATACCTAGCGATATTTACGAGCGAATTGCATTCCATAGTAACCAGACTTATCTTGCTAAAACAGGAACCAGTTTGAATACTTCTGAAAAGGAAATCAGAACTTTTTTTGGAATAACTCTCATGATGTCTTATCTTCGATTCCCCAGGATCAGAATGTATTGGGAGAAGAAAAGTAGAATATTTGCTATTGCAGATAGGATGGCTAGAGACAGATATTTCAAGCTAAGGGCATCTTTGAAGGTGTTAACTGATGCTGATGTTCCAGATTCAGAAAAACAAAAGACCAAGTTCTGGAAGGTCCAACCTCTAATATCTTGTATCCGAAACGGCTGTTTGATGAATGTTCCAACATCAAATGTCTGTGTCGATGAACAGATGATTCCTTTTTGGGGGAAACATGCAGCGAGACAAATGATAAGAAGCAAACCCAATCCAGTTGGGCTGAAAAACTTTGTTTTGGCATGTCCCAATGGCTTGCCCCTGGATTTTTTTATTTATGAAGGCAAAGGAGATACAATCTTAGATGACGATAGAGTTCAGGCACTGGACATTGGTGGCAAAGTGGTTTTCCGTCTTTGTAATCGACTGCCTCCAGGTTGCTGCATATTCATGGACAGGTATTTTACCTCAATCAATTTGTTGGAGATGTTACATTTCGTATCCGAGTCCACAGGTACTGGAACCCTACAAAAGAACAGGATACCATCGAACTGTAATTTCAAAACTGATGCCCAGCTTCGTCGCCAAGGCCGAGGAAGCTACTGTCAGCAAGTTCTATCGACAGGACAAGTAGCAGCGGTCAAGTGGTTTGACAACAAGCCAGTACATCTAGCTTCATCGGTTCATGGCGCTGAGCCAACAGATGAATGTCGCCGATGGGATAAGAATCATAAAAGGTACATCAATGTCCCACGTCCAGCTGTTGTAGAAGAATACAACGAGAATATGGGAGGCGTAGACTACTTAGATCGTATGATCAGTTATTACCGAATATCTGCCAGAACAAGGAAATGGACTGTTAGACTAATATTCCATTTGTTTGACTTTGCAATTGTGGCTGCATGGATTGAGTACAAATTAGATCATGAAAAACTAGGCACGCGAAGTCGTAATATTCTAGATTGTTTGGGTTTCCGTGAGCAAATAGCTGAGTATTTACTCGAAAATGACGCCGAAAATGAAGAAGATCCACCTCTTAATGACGCCACTACCATTGCAAGACAAAGCAAGCGAGCTAGGACAGAGCATCCCACTGATTTTGTCAGGACTAAAGGGGTAGATCACCTGCCTCTTGTTCTTGGTTCCCAAAACCGATGCAGATTACCAGGATGCAAGTCCACTAAGGCCAGGCATCAATGCCCCACTTGCAAAGTGATACTATGCTTGATGGCTGGAAGAAACTGTTACAAAGACTATCACGAAAAATAGTGGTAACATGATTCGAAAAATAGATTTAATTTTTGCTCTGAAAACTTAATAAACACAACTTCCTATTACATAGAGTTTAATTTACTTTTCGACACACTGAGACCCAGTGTCCCCTATTGGATACATAATGGAAAACCATTTTCCGGAAAAATTTTGTATTCCTAATAGTCTAACCTTTCTAAAAATATATGCCATGTCCATATTTACTTCCATTTCCAAAGTATTTTCACTAAATATGGCCTGGGACTGAAGAGGTTAAGGATGCCGCGACATAATTGTCGTCAGTGTGTGCTTGCATGTAGGGTTGCTGAAGGATCGACTGCCGTCCAGTCCTGTCAGTGGACACCTCTGGTTTAAGTCGCGTTTGTAAAAAAGTTTAAGGATGATTTTTTGGAACGGAAACGTCTCAATTCTGTTCGGCTAATTTCACCACTATTTCAATAATGGTGGTGGTGATTACTTTTTGCAGTCTTCAATCCAATCTTCTTTGGATATGTTGTATGCACTACTTACTGTCGCTTTGTGAATCAAGTCTCTTAAGCAAGTTTTTACGAATAGTGATGAAGATGAGTATCTGGATGATGAAAGACAGCATGAAACAGACCAAGATCGTATGCTTGAGACAGAACGAGATGTTTGAAATAGAAGGAAGATGCGCAATCGGTTCATCGGTCGATTTTCGATGTCGCTTGAAGGCGCTGAATCATCACACAGATAGATTAAAAGTCTTTCCCTGCATGTTCTATTATCTCTGCGAATTTTTAGCCTCTTACACCATTCCTTTCTCTGTTTTCTTTCTGACATTTGATCAATAGATAATACTTATTCTTTTCTCCTTTTCGCTTTTTGTAACGTACAAGTTTGACACTTTTTTTGTGTAACACTTTTTTTAGTTTCTTATCCTAAGCGGCATAGAGTTGGATTTAAATGTTAAGTGTCAAGCTTGACGTGCTCTTGACCCTACTTTTATATTTTTTCCCGATTGCTCCTCATTGATATTAAGTTAATAAAGAGGGGTCCATTATTATATTGTCACTTCCATGGAAATTGTGTCACCTCCACGGATAACGGTAATCCACGGCGATGTCCATGGAGGTGACATTTGAAACTTAAATACCATTTTTCCTGACCTCGATTTTGATTTAAAAATACGATGAAATGCCTAGATGATGGTTATAATAGCTCACAATTTTACGATATCTGATAGGTCTTGATTAAATAAAATAATATGATACGTGATCCACAAAACTGACCAAAACAGCAGGCTAATTTTTGAAAAATCGTACTTGAAAGGTCAGTTCGCCAAAACTATTATCCCGGAAGTAGCAAACTGTTCTAAAACTTTCAAGATGGCATTGTGTTTGTTGTCTGTAATTGTTCAGAAATTGTATTGACTGATTTAATAAATTATGACTGCGTTTAATAAGTTTATGCATGAAGGTGTTTTTCTTATGCACAAAAGTTATGAAATATTTTGAATCCATTATTTTATTTATGTTGTAATTATTTAGCGTTTTTTAGAAAGTTTATTCTATGTATTATCGTAAAATAATATAGATTAGTTTATTTATTACAGATAAATATATTTCATTTTAATTTGTTGTAAATGAACTTTGCACACGACATGGAAATGACATCTTCGTCACTTTCTTAATGATTTACATTTAGATTTATTTTATTATCTTGTAAACTTTACATTATTATATACAATATATTGTATTACAGGAATCGTTACAAATGGAAATAAATGTTACATTTCAAAAAATGACAAATATTCAGTACAAGTTTTGTACTACGTAATTTTAACATAGTCAATGTAGTTATGTGAAATAATGTAGGAACATATTAAATAATAATTATGTCAATATAATGATTGTATGCATAAAGTTTATGTAATTTATTCATTTCTGTAAAATAATATCTATACCTAATAATCTATAAATTACAACATATATTACAAGACCATGTCCCTATATTCTTCAGTGGAATAATACGCATTATCCAACAAAAAGTCTTTCAGTCGACGATCAAATGTTTCATCATTAGGCTCATTTTTTAAGTCAACGGGTAGGTGCTCATAATAAGCCGGGCCATCTACGCACGGATTTTTTTCAGTGAGTGCTAACCGTCGCGGTACGACCCTCAGTCGTCCTGTGGAGCGGGTGTTATAACGGCTTTCATGCCTTTCAAAGTTGTGTAAATTTTTTCGTATGAATGTGATTATTCCATATAAATACAACGAATACATGGTCATTATCCTGTGTCTCACAAATAAGTCCCTACAAGAGACTCTTCGTGTTACTCCGGCAAGTATCCTCATTGCTCGTTTCTGAATAATGAATGATTGTCGTAGTATGGAATCTGTAACGACAGGTTTTAATTTTTTTAGGGCATAAGTCGCACTACTTAGTCTACCACACACAGAATTTATATGACGCTTCCACGTTAAATTTTCATCCAAAATGAATCCTAAGAGCTTACTGTGGTCAATTATGGGCATTGGACTATCCAAACACGTTGGCCTCGGGATTGATCTGCCAGAGAACAATATGAAACTAGATTTAGCAGCATTCAGTATGAGACCATTGCAAGTGAACCATTTCATCAGACTCATATATACATTTCCTACTTTTATATTGAGTTCTTCGTAAGTTCGGGCGCACACAATTACAGTGGTATCATCAGCGAACAAAACCAATAAGCCATCAGTGATATGGGACGGTAGGTCATTAATAAATGTCAGGAAGAGGGTATTTCCCAATGAAGATCCTTGAGGAATTCCAAGGTTCACGTCACCTCTACTACTGCGTAGTTTTTTCCCACCTGATATGACTTCAACTGTCTGAATTCGGCGTGATAAAAATGATTTCAAAAGATCGTATGTTTAGCTTCGCATACCATAGTGACATAGTTTCTCCAAGAGTAATTCGTGACTGATTACATCAAACGCTTTTGACAGGTCACAAATCATTCCTGCTACTTTGCACTTACCATCCAACCCCGTAATTATTGAGTCCACCACCCTCTGTGCACCGGTATCCTAAGTATCGTCTGTGTATCGTAAGTACCGGTCCACCACCCGCTGTGGTGGACCGGTACTTACGATAGGCATATTGGTTGTTTGCCACAAGATCATTGTATTCTAAATGTAACATTAGGTGAGAGGAAATAATCGACTCAATTATCTTTGAAATATTAGGTACAATAGTTATAGGTCTATAATTATCAACTCTGCTCATCTCACCTTTGCCCTTGTACACAGGACATACACGCGTGCTCTTTAGGACATTTGGATACACTCCCGTGCAGAATATTTGTGCAGACGTTTGTATACACTCCCGTGCAGAACACTGGTACAACTCGTCTCATTGACGAGTTGTACCAGTAGAGTTGATATGACTGGCCAGGCAATTATAAGTACATTTACTGATATGTCATATATGTCCTGTGTAGAGGGAGCCTTATTCACTAGGTGTTTCAAACATTTGTTGAGTGTGTCTTTTGTAACACTAGGCAGTGTGCAAGTTGGTGGTTGTTTGCTGTTCATGTGGGTTAATAAATATTCAATTGCCTTGTTTTGGTCACTGTGTGTAGACAATTTGGCCGCAATAGATAAAAAGTGTTCATTGAAATAGTTTGGTATGTTAGCAATAGGTACATCATACTCATTTTTATCTTTCAAACATACATTTTGTATTTTTCTAGCGGTGGATATCTCATCGTCAATAATTTTCCACAATTCCTTTGATTTATTTGTGCATTTCTGTAGACGTTTAGCATTGTATTTTTTACGCGCAGCTACACTGGTCGATTTTATCAACCCCGCGTAATGTTTAACACACTGATGTAACGTTTTATCATTAGGATATTGACGACGCATTTCATTGTAATTATTAAATTTTTGTATATGTTCATACAATTCACTGCTCATCCACGGAGTGGCGTTATTCTTTTTAAAAAATATATTTTTTATAGGAAAATGAACATTTAAATGATATGTCAAAATACGAATTAATTTACTAAATTTTTTATTAATGTCCAATGTAATGTCAAATATAAAATTCCAATTATAATTTTCAATGTCAATATGAAACGAATAATTTGCATCTGATCGGAATATTCTACGTTCAATATTCAAATTGTGCGGAATATTCTCATTAGTACTTGTCTTCAACACATAACGCTGTGCGCTGTGATCACTAATCGCGGTGTCAATTGGTGATGCGATTACACTGTCGTCGTTACAGGCCACTACACCGCAGTCAACAGTTGTACCTACAGAGTTGAACAGGTCAAAAGTTGAACAGGTTTCGCACACTCGCGTTGCGAAGCTTATTATATTTTTTGAGCCATAACTATCTAATAAGTCATCTAGTCTGGTTCTCAAAGGATTTGTAGTCAAATAATCCACATTTAGATCGCCGACCATAATAAACCTTTTGTTTTCGTCAATTAGCTTACTAAACAATAATTCCATTGTATTGTGTTGTGAAATCATTTTCTCCAGTTCGATATGCGGCTATGATTATAAGTTTTGTTTGCAAAATTTCGATAACAGTGAATGCACATTGATACTCAACAGCAAGGCTTTGTAGATCGTTTCTCTGTTTATATAGTAAGCTATCGCGTATATACAATGCAACACCACCGTGTTCAATGGTTTCACGACAGAAGTTGTTTGCAAGGGTGTACCCACAAAGCCCTACATGTTTTATTTCATTGTACCTACACCATGTCTCGGAGCAAGCTAATACATCGGGCTCGTGTTCGCTTGTTAGTAGGTTTAGCAAACCAGTTTTACCTGGGATAGATCGCACATTTTGATGTATTATTCTAAATTCAGCTAGTTTATTAGGCGAAACACGACTTGAAACGGGCGTGGTGTCGGTGTTTATAAATAGTTTTTTGATCTGGAATTTAGATTTTTGTGAATAGTGTTGTATTTACGAATAGAGGTACCCTCAGACCATAGATTTGTGTCGCAAATTAATTTTACCTTA